AAGGCATCTAAATCCGAATATGAACTGTATTGTTTATATTCAGAAGCTCTATATTAAAGACTGGCACGTGTGCCGGAGTTAACGCCAGAACAGACGTCTTGTTAAAATTACAAAGACACAGAAAGGCAGAAATGGTTTTTTCGTTCCTAGTTCCAGACCCCCTTTACTCGCGATATTTGCTAATCAGTATTGTTGCTTGGACTGTGTATGTTTTGGTGGTTTTCTTCAGTTTTTTTCATATCTTTGTGATTTGGCATGTACAGAGGAAGATCCTAGCTGTATTTAAAAGTGTGCAGCTAAGGTAAGACGATTTTGATTACATCCTACCTGTAGTATTTTAATGATTTTGTTTATCATAACTGAACATGGCGTCGCCAGACGCCAGTCAAACCTAACACTTAAAAATAAAAGGAAATATTGTAGATTGTTTCTAAATTCAAGTGAATAGGAGTTACACTGAGTTTAGCATGCGATTACACTAATTTTTATTTTAATTTATATATCTCTGATCTACACATTAAAATCATTGTGCATGACTGCTTTACATTATTTTCAAATGTGCATCAGTGAATTTCACACTTCTGTGATTTCTTATGGTTTTATAGTATCAATTATCCAGTCACAATGGCACTAAAAATATTCAAAATATATCCCAGCTTGTTCTATAATATCTACACATGATTCTATAATATTGACTGAACATTTGCTTACATGATTCTATAATATTGACTGTTTGCTTACATGATTCTACTAAATTGACTGTTTGCTTACATGATCCTATAAAATTGACTGTTTGGTTACATGATTCTATAATATTGACTGTTTGCTTACATGATTCTATAATATAGACTGTTTGCTTACATGATTCTATAATATTGCCTGTTTGCTTACATGATTTTATAATATTGACTGTTTGCTTACATGATTCTATAATATTGACTGTTGGCTTACATGATTCTATAATATTGACTGTTTGCTTATGTGATTCTATAATATTGACTGTTTGCTCACTTGATTCTATAATATTGACTGTTTGCTTACATGATTCTATAACATTGACTGTTCGCTTACATGATCCTATAATATTGACTGTTCGCTTACATGATTCTATAATATGGACTGTTTGTTACATGATTCCATAATATTGACTGTTTGCTTACATGATTCTATAATATAGACTGTTTGCTTACATGATTCTATAATATTGACTGTTTGCTTACATGATTCTATAATATTGACTGTTTGCTTACATGATTCTATAATATTGACTGTTTGCTTACATGATTCTATAATATAGACTGTTTGCTTACATGATTCTATAATATTGACTGTTTGTGTTACATGATTCTATAATATTGACTGTTTGCTTACATGATTCTATAATATTGACTGTTTGCTTACATGATTCTATAATATTGACTGTTTGCTGATATGATTCTATAATATTGACTGTTTGCTGATATGATTCTATAATATTAACTGTTTGCTTACATGATTCTATAATATTGACTGTTTGCTTACATGATTCTATAATATTGACTGTTTGCTTACATGATTCTATAATATAATAATGACCTGTTTGCTTACATGATTCTATAATATTGACTGTTTGCTTACGTAATTCTATAATATTGACTGTTTGCTTACATGATTCTATAATATTGACTGTTTGCTTACATGACTCTATAATATTGACTGTTTGCTGATATGATTCTATAATATTGACTGTTTGCTGATATGATTCTATAATATTGACTGTTTGCTTACATGATTCTATAATATTGACTGTTTGCTTACGTAATTCTATAATATTGACTGTTTGTGTTACATGATTCTATAATTATGACTGTTTGCTTACATGATTCTATAATATTGACTGTTTGTGTTACATGATTCTATAATATTGACTGTTTGTGTTACATGATTCTATAATATTGACTGTTTGCTTACATGATTCTATAATATAGACTGTGTGCTTACATGATTCTATAATATTGACTGTTTGCTTACATGATTCTATAATATTGACTGTTTGTGTTACAATGATTCTACAGGGTGTATCAAAAAAAATGTCCCAAATGTAAAAATTCCGTTTTTCAGGATATTTTGCAGAATTTGGCAAATTTTTGTGTTTCTAGAGATAGTTAAGACTTATCTGGTTTTCCTAGGCCAAGTTTGGTTTTTCATTAACAAAATTATGTTACCGGGGGGGTGGTTCCTTTCCACTGATATTGAGAGGGCTTGCGCGCGAAAATGTGAAGCTGAAATTGAGATATTATTTAGCTGTCTAAAAGTAGGAAAGCTTTTTAATAAACTGTCAAAGTTTCAGGAAAAATAATGCATACTGGGAGCAACGCGCGACGCCTAAAGGTGACAAATATTTCATTGCGCGCAGTGGATTAAATGCATCGTTGACTTTAGCGTGACCGATCTCATACAAGGTGGGCAAATGAATAAATTAAAGCGAGAAACTGAACACAAAAACAAAGCGATTTATTCGTGATGTTAATCCTCAGCATGTCCACCATTTCATTCTAAGCAAACTGCGGCTTGTCTGAGCATACTAAACACTGAACAGCGAACCATTTGTCTGTCCATTCGCCTAGATTTGGCGGTGGTAGCGTATAGGCGATTTGCAAGAAAGAATTTCGAACGAAATGGATAATTTGAGGCAGGACAGACAAATGTGGTTCGCCGTTCAGTGTTTACCATGCTCAGACGAGCCGCAGTTTGCTTAGAAAGAAATGGTGGAAATGTTGAGGATTAACATCAAGAAAAAAAATCTTGTTATTAAATCGTTTCGTCTTCTTGTTCAGTTTCTGGCTTTAATTTATTCATCTGCCCAGCCTTGCATGAGATCGGTCACGCTAAAATCAACGATGCATTTAATCCACTGCGCGCAATGAAATATTTGTCACTTTTAGAGGTCGCGCGTTGCTCCCAGTTTGCATTATTTTTCCTGAAACTTTGACAGTTTATTAAAAAGCTTTCCTACTTTTAGACAGCTAAATAATATCTCAATTTCAGCTTCACATTTTCGCGCGCAAGCCCTCTCAATATCAGTGGAAAGGAACCACCCCCCCCGGTAACATAATTTTGTTAATGAAAAACCAAACTTGGCCTAGGTATACCAGATAAGTCTTAACTATCTATAGGAACACAAAAAATTGCCAAATTCTGCAAAATATCCTGAAAAAAGGAAATTTTACATTTGGGACATTTTTTTTGATACAGCCTGTATAACATTGACTGTTTGCTTACATGATTCTATAATATTGACTGTTTGCTCACATGATTCTATAATATTGACTGTTTGCTCACATGATTCTATAATATTGACTGTTTGCTCACATGATTCTATAATATTGACTGTTTGCTTACATGATTCTATAATATAATATTGACCTGTTTGCTTACATGATTCTATAATATTGACTGTTTGCTTACGTAATTCTATAATATTGACTGTTTGCTTACATGATTCTATAATATTGACTGTTTGCTTACATGACTCTATAATATTGACTGTTTGCTTAGATATGATTCTATAATATTGACTGTTTGTGTTACATGATTCTATAATATTGACTGTTTGCCTACATGATTCTATAATATCGACTGTTTGTGTTACATGATTCTATAATATTGACTGTTTGCTTACATGATTCTATAATATAGACTGTGTGCTTACATGATTCTATATTATTGACTGTTTGCTAAAATGATTCTATAATATTGACTGTTTGTGTTACATGATTCTACAGGATGTATCAAAAAAATGTCCCAAATGTAAAATTTTCGTTTTTCAGGATATTTTGCAATTTGTGTTCCTAGAGATAGTTAAGACTTATCTGGTATACCTAGGCCAAGTTTGGTTTTTCATCAACAAAATTATTCTACCGGGGGGATGGTTCCTTTCCACTGATATTGAGAGGCCTTGCGCGCGAAAATGTGAAGTTGAAGTTGAGATATTATTTAGCTGTCTAAAAGTAGGAAAGCTTTTTAATAAACTGTCAAAGTTTCAGAAAAAATAATGCATACTTGGAGCAACGCGCGACCCCTAAAGGTGACAAATATTTCATTGCGCGCAGTGGATTAAATGCATCGTTGATTTTCGCGTGACCGATCTCATGCAAGGCTGTGCAAATGAATAAATTAAAGCGAGAAACTGAACAAAAAGACGAAGCGATTTAATAACAAGATTTTTATTGGTGATGTTAATCCTCAACATTTACACCATTTCTTTTAAAGCAAACTGCGGCTCGACTGAGCATGGTAAACACTGAACAGCGAACCCTTTGTCTGTCCTGCCTCAAATTCTCCATTTCGTTCGAAATTCTTTCTTGCAAATCACCTACGCTACCACCGGCAAATCTAGGCGAATGGACAGGCAAATGGTTTGCTGTTCAGTGTTTACTATGCTCGGACGAGCCGCAGTTTGCTTAGAATGAAATGGTGGACATGCTGAGAATTAACATCACGAATAAATCGCTTTGTTTTTGTGTTCAGTTTCTCGCTTTAATTTATTCATTTGCCCACCTTGCATGAGATCGGTCACGCTAAAATCAACAATGCATTTAATCCACTGCGCGCAATGGAATATTTGTCACCTTTAGGGGTCGAGTGTTGCTCCCACTATGCATTATTTTTCTTGAAACTTTGACTGTTTATTAAAAAGCTTTCCTACTTTTAGACAGCTAAATAATATCTCAATTTCAGCTTTACATTTTTGCACGCAAGCCCTCTCAATATCAGTAGAAAGGAATAACCCCCCCGGTAACATAATTTTGTTAATGAAAAACCAAACTTGGCCTAGGTATACCAGATAAGTCTTAACTATCTCTAGGGACACAAAAATTTGCGAAATTCAACGAAAATTTTACATTTGGGACATTTTTTTTGATACACCCTGTATAATATTGACTGTTTGCTTACACGATTCTATAATATTGACTGTTTGTGTTACATGATTCTATATTATATACCGACCACACCCATTTTCTATTGTTCTAAATCGGTTTTGGTTTCCCACTCAAGACCTCGTTCTGAAAGCTGGGCGCGGTTTTTGATTTCTAGAGGGGAGAGCGGGGCTGAAAATGTAAAACCCGGTACGGGTCTTACATTCAAATTCAAGACCCAGTTCAGGTCTTGAAATTCAATTCAAAACTTGTACTTTTACGAATCAAAACTTGGTATTAGCTGAACTCAAAAATACCCATAAAATATCCAAACGCAGGGAACACAACAAAAATTTACTTAAATGTTGATAACATACACACGCTTAAACTATACGTAACATACACACGACCACACAACAACTTAAAAATTATTTAATTCACAATAAAACTGAAATTTATGTTTATCGAAGACTTATCACCACTGATCCTTGCGTTTGAACTCTCATTTTCGCCTTTTTTATTTTCCACACATCCCTTGTCTTTAGTCTCACATCGTTCTTCTTCCTTAATTTTCTTGGACGTACTTGCATGAACACCGTACAAAATATCAGACACTTCAACTTGCTGTTCACTTGAAGTTCTCTTGTAGGCTCTCACAGCATCGCTTCGATGACCTAAAATTGACAATTAAAAACAGTCACGAGTTCTTACACAATTTAAAAAATCATTTATACGTTTTTATATTTTCTCGTGTGATTTACCTGTCTTTTCACATATAAGCTGCTCATCAACCCCCTTATCGTACATCCTAGTTGCTGCTGTTGCTCGTAGAGAATGATTCGTTCTGTAGCCAGAAAGACCCGCCAGCTCGCATAATCGTTTAACAGTTGAAGCCAGTTTATTATGCCCCACAGGTACACTGCTGTACCAGCAATTCGGCTTCGGACATTTCAGAGCAGTACGATAAAATGCCGTCGAACTCTCAGCGCCAACACTAGGGCTATATATATATATAAGAAACAAAATAATATATAAACACATTAGCATTAAAATTACGCTTGAGTTATTTCCTAATTACTATTACAAATTGAATAGCAAATATAATATACCTACCACAAACTGACATACTTGTCGTACAAACGAACAATACACCGTTTCTTATTTTCTTTATTCTCGTATGCTCGTGTCACTTTTCTTTTCAATTTTCGGTCTTTGATTCCCCCAGCGTTTGTTTTTGAAACGTCTTCCCGGTATTCTAAGTAATGTAAGCCGGTTTCCTTGTCAACGCCTTTTATAATTTGCGAATTATCTGCTCGAAGTCTTCTGTGTTCATTGCCCCCTCTCAACGCAAAATGAATGCCAAAAAGGTACACTAAAGTGTCAAGTAGTTGTTGTGGCTGCGAATCACCGAGAACCCCTTTCTCCCAAAGCTGTTCTTCTTCTCTCAATGTTATTACCTCGCCTTGTTTTCTTGTAAGTCCAAGACCTGCCGACGCACTTTCTTTCATCACAGCGTCCAATGCATTTCGCAAATACTCGAATTTGTCGTCGTTCAATAACCTCACTTGTTTTCCCTTCCCTTTCAAAAAATGTTGAATTGCCGCAATTATCCCATAAAGTGTGTTTGGAGGGTATTTACTTCCATCACTTTTCCTGACTTCGCAAATGAAACATGCCAATGTCCGATTTAGTTCATCGTCAGACATCACGTCAACGGAATTTTCTATAACTTCTAAGCCACAATCCCCATCATCAACACTTCTTTCGTTTACTCTGCGAACTTTTATGTTCCTTTGTTCTCGCCAATTCTCAAACAACGTAACAGCCCACTTATCCTTGTATCTTGTTGATTTTGGCACACAATCATCTATCTTTGCCCGAACTTCTGTCTCACATACTGGCTTGCCAAAGCGATCCAAATCCGTTACACTTGGTTGCTCTTCGACTTCCTTTATTTCCCCAACAAAAGGCCAAATATATTCATCTGGCGCAATTGTATCCTGGTACAAATCATCAAGTACAGGGAAAGATCTTTCTCGCTGTGTACTTGACTGGGTAATATACATTTCTGGATCCGAATCGCCGGACTCCATTACTTCTTCATCACTTTACACCTACAAAAGCTGCACCACTCCCTCTTAAATGGCCGAAACAAAACATCTCAAATAGACAAATAAGGTAATCCATTGTGTGCGCTTTACGTAAACCCTCATGCATTTACCTAATGATCGAAATTGAACGTTGATCACTCGCACGCTTATCGCTTGACAAATAACAAACAAAAACTGTCAAAAACCCTGCAAAACCTCTTGAGAACAATAGAGAATGGGTGTGGTCGGTATATAAACAACATAACAACCTCATGGTCGGTCTTTCATTGAAATTCAAGACCTCGGCGCTGCGCGCCTCGGTCTTGAATTTCAATGAAAGACCTCCCATTCGGTTGTTATCCTATATATATTGACTGTTTGCTTACATGATTCTATAATATTGACTGTTTGCTTACATGATTCTATAATATTGACTGTTTGCTTACATGATTCTATAATATTGACTGTTTGCTTACATGATTCTATAATATTGACTGTTTGCTTACATGATTCTATAATATTGACTGTTTGTTTACATGATTCTATAATATTGACTGTTTGCTAACATGATTCTATAATATTGTCTGTTTGCTTACATGATACTATAATATTGACTGTTTGCTTACATGATTCTATTACCACCTATAATTATGGAGTTCCAAGAGTGGATGGCATCACCTGATGGCAGCAAAAATGATGAAAAAACGGTTTTGCAACATGGTTTTCAGTTTTTTATCATGCTAAAAGCCATTCAGAGAACATTCAGTCCCTGTTTGACCTGAAGTTAATACGTCAAGCATTTTTAGGTATGCATGTGAAACAGAAAAATTAGAAGCTGGCACAATCAAGTCGTATTTGATGAGTCTGCAGTATTTTTATTCATTTGTCCTGTCCGACAAACCAGATACAATTAAATTCAGTTGGGTAGACGTAAGCTCTGCGCGAGAAAAAGTAAAGATGTGGTCTGCATCATACAAGAGAGAATCAAGCACAAGGAAATGGCAAAAGCTTGAAGAAGATATGCTGAATCGTTTGACACCATCAAACATCAGGAAGGTGGAGAAAAGCGCAGCAGCTCGAGAGGCGATTAAGATCATTGGCCAATACTCCGATCCAGCCGAGTCCACGCCTGTCACTCTATCCAGTTTTACCTTGGTTAGGGATTTCCTGTTCACTCAAATCTTTATAGACAATGCCAATCGACCAAGTGTCCTAGCACATATGACGATGGAGGAATTTACAAATATCCGAAAGCAAGATGACCATTACCTCATAACAGTAAAGAAGCACAAAACTGCACATGTTCATGGACCAGCTCGTGTTGTATTGAGTGAAAAAACTGAAGGCGTGGCTGTCAATATTCGTCGGCATAATGCGAGCCGATGTTACCACCTGAATGAATGGCCCAGTATTCATATCCTGGAACCGAAACCCTATGAATTCTGTGCACATCACTAAGGCAGTACAATCTGTCTTTAAAAAAGCTGGAGTGGATGTTAAAGTAACATCGACATCGTTTCGGAAAGCAGCAGTGATGAAAGTTCATGTCGATAAGCCAGAGATGAGTGCGAAATTGGCTAGCCTTATGGCTCACAACGAAGCGACGGCAAAGAGATATTATCTCCTGACAGAGAAATCCAAAACTTCCATAGAGGCTTCACGAAATCTTGGTTGCCTGATGCGAACTGATGACGGGTGTGGAGATAACATTGAGACTCGTTCATATGGCAGTTCATTTAGCTACATTAAATACGAGAAATACAACGGGTGAAAGACAAGATTCCCCCCACGGGTACGCTAATGAAAGCTTGTTTTCATACAACATAATTCATCGTAATTCACATGTCTTAATTCGTTGTAATTCGTTAATTGTTATGCGAAATCCGACATATGCAAACAGAACTACAATAAATACGTTATGAGAATTACGACGCGGAACCATGTATATGTTTTCTAAAAACCAGCCTTCAGTGGCTGACAATGCAAAGAATCCTTCCAGCCTCTCCATACTTACAAAACTACTTCCCGCTACAATAACGATCCGTTATCGTGTATTATCAAAACCTTAAAGTGTTTTTTGTAAAAAACATTTTATTTATATTTGTAGATTCTGCGTAGAAGGATCGACTTGCTTTTTCCGGACAAAGAAGTTTATTAATGAAGTATGGTAAATAGACAGCTGGAATCTGATGCATTAGAGCTGTTTTCTTATTCAACTGTATATATATCGCAGAGTATACATAGTGCATATATTATTTTTTCCTGGGCTCTCGGCTAGAGCTAAGGGCTTTGGAGGAATAAGAATACAAAGGAATACCGCTACGGTTCGCTACGATATACGGTGAAGTGGAAAACAGGCTTTATGTAACTAATCTTGATTTTATCACTTTTTAAATCATCTTGTATATTCCTGATTCACAGCGGACCGGTATTCCTCATCCTGCCCGCTGTGAATGCAACTTGGCTAGACTATATATGTTATGCCTTATTGATGGGATTTGATAAGGAATTTTTGCCTTATTTAAATTACAAAATCGGTGTACAACCTCGCGCTCGGCGGATAAAATGTATATGCGCATCTTAGGATATGCTTAGTTAACGCCAAAAAATAATTAGTATATTTATGGAAGAAGAAATTTCCCACAACACACGTTTTAATAGTGCATTATGCAAGTAAAGTGTATGCTTGCATAAAATTGTAAAACATTCTTCCTCATTACTAGTTTGATTTTGGGGTCTTCCTGAGGAGTGCAAAAATTAATGTGTACAACATTCTGGGGTCTTCCTGAGGAGTGCAAAAATTAATATGTACAACATTCTGGGGTCTTCCTGAGGAGTGCAAAAATTGATGTGTGTACAACATTCTGGGGTCTTCCTGAGGAGTGCAAAAATTGATGTGTGTACAACATTCTGGGGTCTTCCTGAGGAATGCAAAAATTAATGTGCACAACAAGTCTGGGTTCTTCCTGAGGAGTGCAAAAATTAATGTGTGTACAACATTCTGGGGTCTTCCTGATGAGTGCAATAATGTGTACAACATTCTGGGGTCTTCATAAGGAGTGCAAAAATTTGTACAACATTCTGGGGTCTTCCTGAGGAATGCAGAGATTAATGTGTACAACATTCTGGGGTCTTCCTGAGGAATGCAAAAATTAATGTGTACAACATTCTGGGGTCTTGCTGAGGAGTGCAAAAATTAATGTGTGTACAACATTCTGGGGTCTTCCTGATGAGTGCAATAAATGTGTACAAAAATTTGTACAACATTCTGAGGTCTTCCTGAGTAGTGCAAAAATGTGTACAACATTCTGCGGTCTTCTGAGGAGTGCAAAAATGTGTACAACATTCTGGGGTCTTCCGGAGGAGTGCAAAAATGTGTAGAATATTCTGGGAGAGATTCTGGGGTCTTCCTGAGGAGGTATATATGCATAAATTTTCATCCCATTCTTACAACGCTTTTCTTGGCTCCTCGAATGTGTACATCATTCTGGGGTCTTCCAGGGGATTTTTCGTACTTTTAGTTTGTATTTAGGTTTGATACTTTTTATCAAAAGCACATTCCCGCTTCATAGCAGTAAGGTTTAAGAAATCAAATAATTACAAAAGTCGAGCTATGCCATCCATGCAATCCCCATTTATTGCAGTATGTGTCAATTATTAATTTGTACCAACCTTGGATCCCTGTTTTAAATGTATTTCAATTTACTTTTTAGAATATTTATGGAAGACGAAATCCGAATTGCGATTCTCTAATGAATACATCTGTCATTTGAATATGGGTAAGTGATGTTCATAAATATACTTTCTGTCTTCAAGCAGGCCACTCTCCCATCGGATTTATTGAAAAATGACCAGCACATACATATATCAGATGTGATTCAGATCACACATGCATTTTGTCGAGTAAACATGGTTCGTTTTAATATAAAGCTCAGCCATTTTGAGTGCTTCCCGCCTGTTCGTGAAAAATACCTTAGCAATACAGGCCAATAAAACTGCAGGCTTGTGTGGTATCTTAGCAACAAAAAGAAAAAACAAAGCTCTTCGACGATCATTTTAGTACCAAACATGGGTTATAACGACCAATATTTTGAGTTTAAAGACAAACTGAATCTGTGCATTTGACAAGGCAACAATAAGATGGCCGAGTTGTTTTCACATGGCAATTTTTGGATGTTTAAACTGAAAATGCAGAACTTTTGTTGCCCATATTGTGATCGAAGATGGTGGAAATCATGGGACTAATTCCCGAGAAGGTCAAACAATTTCAGAAACTATTCTCAACGGAAAATTGAGTGTTTAAAATTGAATTATCTATGCATTCTCGTACATTCCTAGTGTAATACAAGGTAAATTATTTGGGTATTTATCTGCAAAATGCAGAGCGACCATACAAATTGTTGATATTGTTTGTTGATTATTGCGTTTCGGCTCACGATCGCATGCCTATCGCATTTCGGGCTTGTTGAAGGTAATTTTTTTTATAAATACATAATTTCTCTATGAATATTCATAAGGTCCCTGGCCGCCATTTTGATAAAAATCAGACGCATGTGCAGTTTTCTGCTATTTCTGGCCATGCTCTATCTTGAGGTTTAATATGAATGATGGTTTATCACCGATAATTTCCACCAAAGGAAAGATCTCTTCAATCGAGGAACCAACAATGGTTGGGGCTCCTCCAGATACCAAATTGAGACGAGAGGTCATTCTTATGAATGCGACAGGTTTCTTGAGCATGTTATTTTGGAGAGATAATGTGCTGTCCATGCCATTCAGCGAAGGTAATGTTGTAATCGTGGAGAATCTTCGCCTGTCTAACTGGTGTGGTTCAATTAATGGCAACATGGGAAATGAGACATCATTCAAACTTGTCGAAGAAGAAATTTAAGTGGCTCAAACTCTTTAACTACTAGGTCCAGGAAGAACAATATCATCTCTTTGATTGGCTGTGTGGAAGCCATTTAACTTTAAAGTGCAAGAACTGCAGTAAAACACAAGTTCACACTGGATTGAAGAAAATCATAACTTGTGACGTATGTAAAGCTACCTTCATGGTTAATCCTGGGAAATGTGATGCACGCTGTATTGTTATGCTCATGCAACCCAAAACGACAATGGTATTCTGCTTTTACACAGGTATGTCAATCAGTGCTGCAAAATCACCTTCAACTTTAGGACTAAAGAGTCCTAATTTACATCCAACCTTCTTTTTAACATCTAAACATAGTACAGATGGTTTCAAATATTAACTATCTGCATCTGCACTGAAAGCGAAGAGGATATTGAAGAGCTCCTTACATCCAAGTATACCTTAAGAGTAGATTTACACAGAAAGGTGATTGAA